CAAGTGAATCGCTCATATTGGATAAAAAACGAAGGATCTTGTCGAAAATGTTTCCACGCACGCATTACAATAAAAATTTGTGAAAATATCCATGAGAAATCCAAATTCCGTTATTAAATAGTTGAATGAGTTGATATTCATGCATGGTTTCTTTTCATTAAACGTTTTAATTGAAGTTTACATTTTTTAAAAATTTAACAGCTTATTAATGAATTGCTGTATTTTATATAAAAAATGGTCAAACCTTTTTTTTTCCAGTTCAGATAATTATGAGTCAAACGTTTGGTGAGCAAAAATTGTTGTTATTTAAAATTCTAGAAAGACGAACTTTTTGTTATATTTTCAATTTTCCATATTAAATTATTGCAAGTATTTTCAATTTCCATTTTCTTTTTTTTTTAATGATTTATTTCGGTAAAATTCAAAAAATGAATTGGTAAGGCAAAAATCTTCTTGATTATTTAAAGATCCAACAAAAATTCGAAAATAAACTAAAAAAACGAAGAACTGTGATAATTTTTTGATTTGAATTAAAAATTAAATTAAAATTTACGAAATATCAATATACACATCTTTATCGAGTGTCGATTTAAATTATTAACCGTTGTAATAAGAAACATGGCTATTCTTAAAAATTTCCATGCATATCATCTTGCAGTGATTGCAACTTAGTTAAAAGTCCGATAAAAGTCCGATTAGCCAGGAAAAAAGTAAAAGTAAATGAAAAGTAAGACCACTCAAGTATTTTTTCAGATAAATCTAATGGCGATTATTTTCCGCGCAGTACTCCTCGTATTTATTGGAATATGTATAGGATCATCATTAGGCCATTTTCAACAAGCGATTACAGCAAGCCGGCTAATACGAGTGCTTTTTTTAATTAAAAAATTTATTTACAAAATTTTTTTTAAAAATCAATCAAACTATAAATTAAATATTTCCATTAAAACAATGAAAATTTCAATTTTTGGCTTCGTCAAAAAATTAAGAATAAGAGTATAAGGTTATTTTTATGAATGAAAAATTGGGGACTTTGCTTTGATAATCTCGATTAAATTATATTTCTGGCTCAATTTATCTTTTCTAACTATTAACAATAACGAAAAGGTGTTAATCAGTTCAATTTCCAGGCATTCCCATACAACGCGCATTTCAGACACGTATTGCGTTTAGGGCCAAATTTTCCAAGTTCACAGAGTTTTGCTCTACATGACAATGATATTCGTGATATTCTGCAACAAATCGAGTTGGAAAGACCAAAACCATTTTAAACCACTAAAGTAAGCCGTATAGAAAATGAACTTAATATTTCATGTTGCTCGAATGACATGTTTCTTCGATTGAAGCCATTATAGGTTCCATTCCCACATTTTGATAAAAAATGAACCCAAACCTTTCATTGAAATCCAGGTAGTGCTAGGTAGACCTTCATTTTTATCCTTAAATGATTCTCTGGTGAATAGATTTCATCATAATAGCCAGTTCAAATAGCCAAATTCTTACAGAAATTTAGAAATAGAAGAAATGCCAAATGCCACCAAATAATTTTTTTGCCCGCTCAAAGACTTTACACATTTCACAATTCACTTTAAACAGCGGTATCATTTGATTTGATATTTCATGGCTTTGAAGGATTCCTTGAAATTCGCAATTTGCAATTTTCGATAATTTTGTCTAATAAGTGAATGATTTCAGAAATATTTCAAAATATCTATCTATCAACGATTGTTTCAACGGATTTTATTTGTTATTTTTCTTAAAAAGAATTGGGAAATTAAACAGAATTCACCATAATAATTGCAAATCTTTTTATTAGCAGAATATTTTTATTCGGAGAATCATTTAATTAATGGCTTAAATAAAGGAATTTCGTGAATTATCTATCTTTTCATGCATACGTTTTAAAAAGTTTTTGCAAAGAATTAGAGACATTTTCCACTTCGATTGCTCAACAAATTGATCGTAACTGCTTATAGAAATCTTAAATAATCCTCGAAGGAAATGAACGATTTTTTCCGCGATGACGACTACTTGTGATGCAAATTCACTTTGGTTTTATAGATTCAGTTAACAATAAAATGCTTGTAATAAGGCAAAGAAGACGTTGAATAATGGCTTTTCAAATAAGAATGAAATTTCAATGAAAATGAAAATAATTCTCAAAAACATTCTGCAAAAGAGCATCTTAGTTTTCCTCTAAACAAATTTCATAAGTTATTTAAATAGCGAAAAAATCTAAAAAATTAAAAAATTCCTTATTGTTAAGAAAATTTTTAAATTTTTGTATGCTGAAAAAATAAAATATTTCAATCTAATTTCCTCATCTTCGATTAAAACCCATCTGAAAATGATTTTTTTTTAAAGCGGTCCATAGAAAGTTATGTTGGAATGCACTCTTTCTTGAAGTTCCGTTCTGCGTTCCGTTTGGCAGTCTAATTTCTATCTTCTCGCTCGACTGAATACAAAGGCTTGCGATTCTTCCACTAAGAAGTTAAAGTGTAGCTGGCAGTTTCAGCAGGAATGGCACGTTTGTTCCCACCGAGGATATGGAAGAGGAATGAATGAAGAATAAATTTCGAGAACAAAAATTTTAAGCACCTTTTGACTTTTTGCTTGTAAATTTTACAGCCGAAAATAACGCAGTTCTTTCTCCTACAATGATTTACCTATATCGATTTCACGGAACGTTTTTTGCCATCAATTAGCAAAGACATTCGAATGAATGCTTCTTTCTCAAAAAAATAACGTTGGAGAATTTGCATAAGTTTGATTCCCGGAAGGTTTATCAATAATCCGCGCTTTTTATTTCAATAATCTTTTAGCAAATATTCGTCGCTGAAGCAATTGTTGGCTGCTTTTCATTGCAATAGATTTGGATAATACTTCGCTAATAGAAATTAGAAATTAGCGAAAAGCAGGATTTAAAGAAACGACATTTATTCGCTATTACTTCTTTCTTTTGGATTTTGAGCTGCTAAATATTTATTTTTTATCTTGAAGCGATTATATGGATGCGGTCACTTTTTAAAATTCTATGGGGAATGTTTCAGTGCGTTATTCATAAATAAAATAAAACAAAAATGTATGTTTAGTTAGTTTTATTTATTTTACTTACTTGTTTTATTTATAATATTTTCAATAATTTTGATGTTTTTCGCAAAATTTGTTCCAAAAATTTCAAATTTCTTGTATTAATATTTCTTATTTTTATTTGTGCATTTTTTAGTTTCGTCAATTCTATTTTATTTTTATTTATAAAGTAAACCGTTTGCAATAACTAATTGCTTAGAATTAGAATTCAAAGAAATAAAATATAAGAAATATAAAATTGCGAATATACGAGAATTGCAAATAATGCACCAAAGAGGAATAGAATGGCTTAATGGGTTGTTCCTCAGTTCGGAGCGCCGATGCTGAGGCTCTCTTCCCCGCAGGAGTAAATCTGTCAAGAAATCCGGGCGGTGCTGCGACTCACCTGTATTTCTAATTCCCAGAGGGTTCCCTGGCATATTGCTCAATGTGACAAGCCAGTGGAGCGAGTTTAACCAGTAATGGTGAGGACTCTAACAAAAAAAATGCACAAAGTAAACTTTCATTGCCATTTCTCACATTCTATATTTATTTGATATGATTTAATTCCGACATTATTTGATTTATTATTTAATGCACGTGACATTTTCTGAAACGTGGGAAAAGGCTGAAGTTCTTTTTTTTTAAAAGTATCCTGGTGGCTAGAATCACTTCGCTGGCTTGTCGGATTAAACAAATACGTCAGGGAGTCCTTTGGCGACAGAAATACAGGTCGCCAGCACAGGGCACTTTTGAAGGGTAGTTTTAATTCCGCCTGGAGTGACACCTCACCATCAGTGCTCCGAACTCGAACTGGTCATACTAGTTTCCTTTGTTTTCCACTCTTAGATGACACTACCGCTAAGCAAAGAGTGGTGCATCGGTGGACTCGAATTCAAGCCTCGATTCTCGGTGACAGTTAATCAGTGGATTCATTCCAACTAGAAATGACTGGGAATAAAATAGGCAGTGTAATGGTGATGAACGATGAAAAAAGAGAAAAAGGGGCAAAATAAGAATTGGACATGTTATCATGATGTTATAGTTTGTGGTTTGTTGCCGAATTTAATATCAAATGATTCCCTTCAGGGTTCCTATTGAAAACATTTTATAATCACTTTTAGAATGCTCTATTGTTTTTATATTTATATTGTTTTTTATTTTGTAAAAGATTTGCAATGTTTTTGAGGAGTTTTTCTACTGTGTCCATTCTATGCAGAATTGCAGAATTCATATTTTCATTCAACTGAAAAAATCTATCTCAGAGACGAAATACGCGTGAACGCGTGTATATTTTTTATTTCTTTCAGGCTCATATGTTCTACAAGATATCTCTGATAAAGCCGTTTTATTAAATACAAAATTGGTAAATTAATCTTTCATATGGCATTGTTGAATTTGGATGATATTACTCCACATATTGAACGAAATTATATTGTTTCGATACCCGAATACAAAATTATTGATAATGACAAACATGCTGTTGGCTTTTTTTCTTTTAACTCACTTTTATTATTTCAATTTTTATACAATATTATTTCTCTTTCATAATTTAACGAGTTTTTTGTCGAAAATGCATTTAATAAATCGTACTTTACTAATTATCTATACAAGATAATTCTTGCGTTTTTGGAAGTAAGCAAAAGAATTGCCTTAAATTGCGAAATCTTAACCTTTGATACCTCCAAAAATATTCTGAATGATTTCATTTGATGTGAAAAATTTGCCTTTTTGCTCTGTAATTCATCAATAATTTTGTCTTCGACATCTTTCTACCATTTAACGTCTTCATTGATACCATTCACTTCCATTTTTTTCCTTAATACTTCATCAAGTTGCAGTTTTGCCTCAGACATAGCAATAAATTATAAAATTTTAAGAGATGACCTGGATGCTTAAGAGGATTCTGGGATAGAGGAGGAGGAAGAAGGATGGTAAACAATGATGATTTGGCGAGTGTGAAAGGATTTGTAAAGGTTTTAAGGAAAATAATGAAAAGTTTTGAAGGCATTTCACATGACTTATAGAATACTTAAAAGATAAATTCAAAATATAAATATAAATCTCAGAGAGAAAATGATTTTGGCCATCTAGGATGAGCCTTTTCATTGATGTTAGCGAATTTAGTAAAATGGCTTCAGTGAATATTTCGATTTCAATCGAGTTTTGATTTGCATATCGATTTTCAAAAATCGAGTATCGAAAAAAAACATTTCATTTCATTAAAACGTATGCTAACAATTGATTTTTTGTCTCTGAGATTTATGTTTTGAATTTATCTTTTAAGTGGATTTATTTTCTGATTTTTACTTTTTTTTGTGGTTTTTGAAAATTGGAAATTTCAGGTATATTGTATAAGAATTAGTATTGATAATTATAAATGGACAGTAGAACATCGATACAGCGACTTTGTCAAGTTCGATGCAAAACGTTTTGAAGATCGCAAGAAATCTTTCCTTCCACCAAAGAAACTTGTCGGTAACATGGTAAGTAATTTTAAAACAAAATTAATTCATCATTATTCGCTTAAGACATATTTTTTATAATTTTAATGTTTTTAGGATCCTGAATTTCTAGAAGAAAGGCGTATCGAGCTTGAGAAATACATTCGAACTGTTGTGGAACTTGAACTTTGGCTATTAAAAAAAAGAAAGCAATTCATATTGCCTAGGCTTTTAGCACGTTTTCTGGATTTTCATCAATATGTTAGTTGATTTTTTCGCCACAGTTCATTTTTTTCAACCACAAATTTTGTTTAATTTTTGATGACCGGTTAGCAATCGAATCCATTTTTAGACAATTTTTTATGGCTTCTGCCATTCTCAAACTTTTGTTTCTTTGCACTTGATTAAATTTTTTTTAGCACAATAAGAGAAACTAGGTATTACATCAAATATTAATTTGACCATGTAATAATTTTTGGCATATTTTTCAAGGCATTTGCAGTAATTGCAATACTTATAATATTACTTTTAATGGCAAAGTCAATTCAATTATACGGAATTTAGTATTTCTTCTTTTCTCTTTGGCGTTAAAAACCGGTTTTCCATTGATTGATTTTATTTTGCGGTTAAATAAATTCCATTCATGGTTTTTCATGTTTTTCATATGTTTCAAACACCTTAAAACCATTTTTTATATTTCCTGAATGGTCTTTGCTATGAGCTTGTTTTTTAATTCTTTATTATGAAATTCCATTTTATATCTAATAGTTAGGTGGGATTGATGAAAAGCTTTAATTTTATTTTATTTTTAAACTAATGATATTTGTTTAACAGAAATTTTATTATTATTTCATTGATGTAAAAGAAAAGGAAAAATTACAATGCATTATTACCAGAAAATTGTTGAGTTATTTTAATTTATAATTGTTTTATTTTTTTGCATAATTTTTTCGTTTAAATTTTATTATTTCGAAAGGCACTTTTAAAATTTGATTTTTTTGCAATTGTTAATAATTTTTAGGTGACGATTACTTTTAGGATAAATTCATTTCCTCTCTGGACTAGGTAGATGTATTAAAAAATTCTGTGGAATCTATTTTTTGATAAAATTCATTTTAACAATAATGTTCACTTAATAGTTTTAAAATATTTGAAAATCTTATTTGCAGCTCAAAATTATTAAAGACAATTTAAATAAAAAAAAAATTGAATTGATGGCAAAATTTTTAACTTGTAAAATAATGCAAAGCATATGGAGAAAAAGAAAAACAATCAGTAATAGAAAGAAAATTTAGTTTTAACAATCGTCGTTGTCACAGCTTATTATAATTTAATAATTGAAATAATTTTATCTTCATTTTAATTTCTTTTTTATCGTTGTTTCACAAGTTAATCATAAGTAGCAAAACAAATTTTTTAGTTATGATTTGTTAACAACATTTTTCTCAAGAAATGAAAGTATTTTTGGTTTTTTTTCTTACTTTTTATCTACAAAATTATTTTCAAAAGTGTTTTCGAATAGTTTTCGGTGACATTTAATTGTCGATTGATGGAGGCAATTAGAGCAATTTCTAACTTTTTAGCTATAACTATATTGGAGTAAAGCAAATATAAAAAAAAGAAAATATTTTCATTCTTTTTAAGATTGAATAAGCAATATTTAATGGTTAATTTAAGAATTTTTTGATTTTGTGGAAAAAATGGAAAATTTTTAAGTTTCAGATAGAATTAGCCAGTGGAAAAGAAAATTTACGCACAGTTTGATTTGATTCATTCATTTCAAAAAGCAAAAAAATTTCAATATATCATCGATAAATCGAAAATTTACGATAAAAATATTGAAATAAGCGGTATTTTTGCAAAGAATTCCATAGAAACTATGTTAATAGGAATAAAAAAAAGCTTAATCTTTGGTTCTTGTTTGGGAATATAAGGAAATGCCAAGATACTTAGAAAGAATACGAAAAAAAGAAATATATGTCGATTAATTTTTCGATCGTATATGGTTCGTTCTTTTTTAAAAAACTTTTACAATTTGTGGATTTCAAATATTAGAAAAATAATTATTTCATAAAAAATGAGCAAATTTATCAATTTATTTGATATTTTCTTTTTTAGTTTTGGATATAATTTAATAATTAACGCCTTTTATGGAACTCTGAAAAAATATAAGATCAAACTAAAAGGAGTTCCGTTTTTGAAGGTCGAGAATTATAAAAATTTGGAATTTTGTGATAAAATTAAGGTTTAAGGTTTTGCTGATTATTTATCCAAGTTTCTAGAATAAAAATAAAATGTAAGAAGGTTTCAATAAGAATTGTTTTCGAGGGATAAAAAAGTCGTTAATGATTTGATAAAGTAAAAACCTTCAATCCTAAATGATGAGAAATCGTCGAAAAAAAATTTTAATTTTCTTTTCATTGGAAGAAAAATATTTTTCTCTTCTATTTATTTTCTTATTCTTCATTTGAATCTATTGCTGCTGTTAGATGACCATTCGATCCACCAATATTTTTTCGTTGACGCCAGTATTGTATACGATTCCAGACTTCTTTTGTCGCTAAATAGATCATTGCGATATTTTTCAGTACCAATAAATCTGTATTATATGCTTTACCGCGTTGTTGAATTTCGAGGAAAACATATAGGTAAATGCGAATTCCCAGATAAGGTCCATTCACCTGGAAATCCTCGAAGTTACTGAAACTTTTTCAAATTAATTTTTATCTAATTTTTCATCAGCTTTTTTATGGTTTCGTTTCGTAACTTTTATTATAATTTGTTTTTATTCAAAAGAGATTTCATTAAAATGAGATTAGCTGTCGAAACTGAATAACCGATCCAACTGCTCGGTTCAGTTTTTTTAACCGATATATATTACATATATATAATAGAGATACACATATATATAATAGAGATGAAAAATGTACGATTAATACGTAGACCAAAGCAAGCATTTTATCGCTGAAATAGGAGATCCGTGGATATCTTTCGAAACGAAGTCGCAGTAATGAAAATGTCGGAAGTATAATATTGACACCCACTAATGATATGATTGTTATATCAGTCCATAGTGGTAGGTTCCAATCATTTTTCTAGAAATAAAGCTTGCAGGTTTTTTATTCCAATTTAGTTATCTTTTTGGATCTTTCTGGTTAATTTATTTGTTTAGCTTAAAAATTATTCTGATTTACTGGATTGTCAGATTCAGATTATGGAAATCCGGTGAATCTGAAAAAAATGAACGATAAATAAAACAGTTGCTGAATTCAAATTAATGTAATTATTCCTGGTAATATTATATCGAAACGATTGGTTTTTTAGCGATTCGTTGAAGAATATCTAAAAACAAAAACTAACGAATGATTGCCAGAGAAGGTCGAGAAAGTAAATGGTATCAATGAGATCGAAACAAATCGCTGTGGTGAGATAAATGATATAAAGTTGGCGAATACTGGTTAGCGATGTGTAATGATGTGATTCCACGAGAAATACGTATAACAGAAGACTGAGCGACAATCCAAGACGGAACAAATGATCATCAAAGATTTTATCATTATTATCAGACTTTGTTGGAGGTAGCTTAAAAATATATTTTTATTTCTTCGTCGTAAACTACAACTTTTCAAAAATGTCTTCCCATGAAAAATTTTATTTGGAATTCAGTGAAGGAGATTTCTTCTGTGAATATTAGATTTCTATATTTGAATTAGAATAAAAATTTTCCAGAGATTTCTTCTATGAATATTAGATTTCTATATTAGAATAAAATTTGAATTAGAATAAAATTTTCCAATTTTACCATTTATGACTCAAATATTCGAGGAAGGTTAATAAAAATTATAATAATTATGATAGTATATATATATATATATATTAACGCAGATTAACCTCATTATAAAAGATTCGAAAACAAGCAATGATTTTGCCGGTGAGCACAATGGAATAAGCGAACCAGGCAATCCATGCGAATTTCACTTTTCCATCTTAATTTTTATATTTTTATAATTGAAGCTATAATTTTTTAAAATATTTTATATTACCAAATGATAAATGATTATAGATAAATTTCGAGGGAAATAATTTAAAAGATCGAAATGATGAGCAAGTGACAATTATCAAATTGTTTTATAGTGAGAATATCAGTGTAATAAGGCTGGTTTTAGTCTCAGAAGTTTCAGAAAACTCAAAATGGGCGATAGAAAAATTTTAATGAGTGAAATTGAATAAACGAACCAGTTGAACTTGCTTCTTCCATATGTTCTTGATTGTAACGTACTGCTAGAATGAATAGCCATATGAAAATGATAACAACGAGTGCGTCGGCACCAATCCATGCGTACCATATCTTATCTTTTAGAAAAGTTAGGTAGTAGTAATCTAATAGTCCAAGTTGTATGATTAACAGCAACAAAGTGATTGTATGCGCAAAAATATCGAGACATCCTCGAACAATTCGTCCTAAATTTATAATGGCTTTTTGAAATAATTCATCAAAAACTTGATAAATCATTTATTAGATCAATATTTATAAATCATATAAGTTTTTTTGAAAAATTCTACGAATTTTTTTTCAACTTTTTTAACCTGGAACGACAGACATGTTGTCGAGGATCTTATCACTTTTATAGTACTTGTTTGGTGTTTTGTTATCAGGATAATTAATTTTCGAAAGATAAGGTAATTCGTAGTCGTCGCAAGAACCGCTATAAAAAGTCTCGTAACGTATAAAGTCTTCGGCGTTCTCCTCAACAACTTCTTCAGTTAGTGCTTCTTTTCCGTTTTTCACGTAATTTTCGTATGTATTATCTGAGATAAATAGGTTAGTCAATTGTAAAAAATTTTTATCTTTTTACTTTACAAAGAAATAATTAAACACGAATTCAGTAAAAATTATAAGAATCATTCCTATTATAATTTCGCATATCTGTTTATTAATTTCAAATCAAATTTCAAGATTAATTTTTTATGAAAAATGAAACAAATGAAAAAAACTGCAAGCAGAAGAAGAATTCAGAGAGATCTTTGATGAATAGAAATAAAAGTGTACGGATTAATGTTAGTAATTCGAGGGAAAATTTTATGTAAGTATCGTTGTCGTATTCGATTTTTGAGGTGCTCGTTTGGCTTAGTTTCGAATCGATAAGTTTCTAAGGCAACAAAACGCGAATGATAAATCTTTCTACTTTTGATAAACAAATTTACGATCTCAATTTTAAAAAATTTCGAATAAAAAGTCAGATTTGTTGCTTGTTCACAATTCCGTTTCATCTCTTCATGTCGCTCATGAACCGATGATCATCGGAGGAATTTTTCCCTTGGGAAAAGCGTTTTATTTAAAATTTACAATGATTTAATAAAGCCTATTAATATTTGACAAATAACAGATTAGACATTATTTTTCCAGAAAATCAAAGATTTATCATTTCTGATAATTGCTATTAACTTGAAAAAAAAAAGAAAAAATGACGTTAGAATATCGGTTTTTATCGGTAAATCGATAAAGGAATTAGCTGAATAAAGAAAAAAATAGAAATTGGATTACATCAAACTTATTCGATCATTTTCTTTTTCAGAATGAAGGCAGAATTCTGGAAAAAAAGAAAAAATGACGGAAAAGCGTCGACTGACGTTAAGGTAGATAAGTGTGGATAACATAAAAAATAAATCGCCAATAATAAATATAATATAGCAAATTTTAATTATTTTAATTATTCAAATATTTAATAATAATTTATAAAAATTTTCATTTTATTCCGTCCGATTATTTGTTATTATTCCGTCCGATATTACTGTGATCAGCGTTCTTTTATGATCACTCAATTGGCTGTTATTACGGTACGGTTAGAAATTTTTGTCAGTGGATTGTCAGCATCACTTGGTTTTTTTAATGGCTTGCTGATATCACAGGTAGCATCCGGGACCCCGATTAATTAAGACAATATTCTAAGCAATAACCACTCACCTACCTTCATTTTATATTATTTTACTAAATATTAATTTGAACAAGTTTATTACTCTTAAAAATTGATATATTAGTTCGTGTTCTTGGCTGTTTTATTCAATAATAGAAATAATAGTGAATGAGAATTTCGGAAAACCATTTCTTATCAATGGTTGCCTCTTCCAACAAATAATAATGTTGAAAAATAATAAATAGGAATAAGAAATAGCAATAAAAATTACATCGCTAGCATGTTTTATAATTTATATTATATGCGGAATAGTGTATGATTAAGGAAGGGTGATTAATATGGAGTCCTTTCCGATGAAGGTCCTGTCCTTGAAAGATTGTCTTCCTTACCTCAATCTCCCAAGCCTTTGTTAGAGGACCAGAGGTTGAGAGTGATCCATATCACCCCATAAGGGGTAGGAGGATTCGCGAATGACTTAGCACCACTTTTCGTCGGGCGGCTACTGTCGCTTAACGGAGATGCTGAAGTTGCATTTTGGGCGGGAGTAAACCCGTTCAAAAATCCGGATGATGCTGGCAACTATGCTTGTATCATGAAGAATCTCTCTGACATATTTGTCCAGTCTGATGGGCCAGCATATCGAGTCTAAGGAGTAACGGTGTGTGCTCTTAAGAGAATAAATTCCTTTATCCATAAAATTGTTTCTGGGACACTGCATTGCAATTGACAATTCCACTGACTTCTAGAGAGTCAATTATGGATAGAAGCATCAAATGTGGGTCCATCCGTGTTCTGCCCAAGATGTGGGTTGAACCACTGAGCCCCGAAATAATCGTAGTTTTTTTCTCGAGACTGATGATCTATGATAACAGATTCAGATAATATAGAAGATAACAGATTCGGAAACTGTGAAGACAAGAAGAAACTTTAAAAAAACAAGGAAAAGAAAGATTTCGATCCTCTCATTGAAATGGATTTATTTTAAATTATTCGTTTAATCCATGGAAATAAAAATTTTAATCAATTTTATGGAAATAAGAAATTTAAAAAGGATTATTATCAGATTTCTTATTATTATCTATAGTTTCATTTTTCATTCAAATGTATCATTAAATTTTCTCTTGAATTCGGTTTTTTCTAACTATTTTTGTACAGATAGAAATTTTTTAAAAGAATTTGTTAATTATTATAAAAGTTTTATAAATTTTTTTTTATAAATTTTTTGACCTTTGACATTTCCCATTTTTTGAAGACGCTGAAGTTTCACATATAGAATGTTTGAAATTGATCTGTTTGGATGAAACTTGTTAATTTTGACCTTTGTTTCCTTCTCTATTAGAATCTTTTTTTTTTAAGCTTATGAAAAAATTATTTCCACTTCATCTGTCAACTTTCCATATCTCACTAAATTAACTTATAATGAATGCTTTTACTCGTTCAGTTATAAATCTTTATATTATAAATCTATATTACAAATCTAAATCTAAAAGGCAGTTAAAAAGCCGAAAGAAGAAAGTCTTTAATTTTTCATGGTTTATCAAATATGTAGCAATGTCCCTGATACTGAAACTCCAGGAGATGGTCTTCGGGCTGAGCTTTCCAAATGTCATAACACATCTTCAACAAATATACTCTTTAGTATAGAAAAAAGAAATATTACCAGATGATTGGAGCAAACCAATTCTGCTCCCAATTCTCAAGAAAGGTGATAGGACATACTGCGACAATTATCGAGGAATCAGCCTACTAGACAAAAATTTTTGCTTCTCTGCTACTCAACAGACTTATGGAAGTATGAGACAGCAGGATGCGCCCTAAGCTGGTTTCAGACCAGGGAGCGGTTGTGCTGACCAGATATTCACGTTAATAAAGGTGTTGGAACATCGCTTCAAATATTGGCAACCCACTGTCACGTATTTCATCGACTTTGCGCCTGCCTTTGATTCAATTAATAGAGCGGCGCTTTGGAGGGTGATGGAACGTGATGGTGTTCCAGAGAAAATCATTAGACTCATAAAGGCACGTCGGCGCAGGTCTGTGTATATGGGGAGCGACAGATTCCTTCGAAATAAGAACAGGTGTCCGTCAGGGCTGCGTCCTTTACCTCACAATATTCGACTATGCGATAGACTGGATATTGGACACTCAAGAGGTATCCGAATTAGTCCAGAGCATCGTATCACAAATCTTGAATACGCTGATGATGTAGTCCTTCTTACTGACACTTATAACGAAATGCAAGTAATACTAAATAACATGTCAGAAACTGCAGCAAGAATCAGGATCAATGTAAATAAAACAAAAGTTTTCGTCTTATGCGCAAGAAGCTAATAAAATGCCTCTTTTTGTAAATTCATTGCCGGTTGAAGGAGTACCCGATTTCAAATACCTTGGGTCATTCTAATACCAAATGGACAGGCAAAAGACGATATTATAGCCCAGATCATGGCTAGAAATGAATTCTTCCGGTTGACGAAGCCTTTATGGAATCGTCGTGAAATCACCAAAAAAACGAAAGGTATAGCCGTGATCCGTTCGATTGTTATATGATTCTGAGACATGGCCAATGAGAGTGGAAGATATTAAGAAGTTATCTGCCCTTGACCACTCTTGTCTAAGATACATATTACGGATCTGTCGAGCGGATAAGATATCACATGATCGCATCCATCTTCGTTCAAATACCACTTCCATAAATAATGTTGTTACAGAGTGTCGCCTTCGCTGGTTAGGGCACTTTCTCTGTCGCCACCATAGGAGTTATTTGTGATGGTTGGCGTCAAAAGCGAGATAGGCCAATCAAGATCTGGACTGATACGGTCAGAAAGATTTTGAACGTATATGTGGACAAGCAATATATGGACTTAGACGATGGAACAAGGAATGGTTTCCATTACTGTCGACGATAGCATCAGATTACGCTGCTTGGAAACATCTTATCCTTCTAGCCGTTGGAGCCAGCCTAACCAGTAATGGTGAAAGCTGTTAGAAGAAGAAGAATGTCTCTGATAGGGGTAAAAGTGTCATTAAAAAATCCTGCCGATAATGCTGCCTTTCCAGCTGTACTGTTCCTAAGTGACTTTTTAGCAAAAATTTTTAATCGTATCAATAATAGCTAGCGGAGTTAATTTAATCAGAAATCAGATTTAATTAGAAATGATGATGAGTCTAATCAAAAAGCATAAGCAGTTTAACCACTTTTTACAATTATAAAATAATTAAATTAATTGGCTAAAATATGATTATTAAATGAATGAATGGTAGGGAAAATCGAGTTGATATAATTTTACTAAAACAGAGGAAAATATTGATGAAGACAAACTAATTATTGGTTCAAATTATTGGAATGATGATGATGAGGTAGTTCTGATCAACCAACGATGTAACAGCAAATTTGCCGAAATCCAACTCTCTAACAATAATACCCCTTAAGAATTTTTATATTTAAAGGTAGTTCCAAATATCTTTTTTAGCTGATTTTTGGGGAAAATTTATTTTTTCTAATATAAAATTCATAAAAAATTTTTGCAGCAAATTTATAACAGATTTTGAATTTTACAAGAAAATGAAAATTTTGTCATTAACAATTCGATTGATGAAAAACTGGTTTTCGTTTGCGAGACAATTAGTTAATTTCTTTTTTTGATACAACTTTTGTATTTTACGAATTTAATAAATTGAGATCAATAAAAAGAAATGTCTGTATGAAATGGATAGATTTTCGAGTTGAATCCCGAAAAGAGTACTTGAAATCTGCGAACCATATGTTTGCGTCGCACTTTAATTTATTTCATAGAATATTCGCAGAAAATTCTGTGACAAAGCGGAAATTCTTTATGAAATATATAAACGAATTATTAAATGAATGGAGAATTATGGAAAGAGAAAATGAATAAATGTGAGGATAATCTGGAAA